GAGCCTAACTCCACTGATCTGTGAGCATATCCTCACATTCTATCAACCATCAATCAACCACTCATCTAACAAAAGATTACTCTAAATTGGATATTAGCCTTTTTCTGGAATTTGTAGACCACATCCTATTCTATTGGGTGCCTAATTTTGTTTGAATTTTTAGTATTTTATTTGGGATATGGATACTAATTAAGTAGTGGTATAAATGGTGATAAAAGAAATAATAAGTGCACTACCACCATAATATATCCTTTTTCTCTTTAAGAATCTGCAATTATGAATATATATATATATATATATATACACACACACACATTCAAGAACTCGACTTATAAAAAAAATATTGGCAAAAAGAATCGAACTCGAACCATTAGTCGTTGCGCTCTTCTCACTCAATCAATTATGTCACACTTATTGGGTCATCTTTTTCATTGCTTGTATTGCATGTATTATTATTATGTGTCCTTTTACTTTCATTTTTTCCCCCCACAAAACCACATTCTTCACTTTGAAAATCCACTGTTTTTTTTAACTATTGTTTACTTTATTTGGACAATCTCTTACTACATGACATTGTTTTTTTTTTTTTTTTTTGATCGGTAAATGTGAAATATATAGATCAAAACAGACTTTACAAATACACTGGACATACCCAGGCAGTGTAATCAAAAATATATATCAACACCTATACATGAACAAGACCCCACAGGTCAAATGCAAAACAAAGATCAAAAAACAATCAGGGATGCACGATTTGCAAAGCTGATTGCGGAAACAAGGCAAAAACCGTCTTGTAAACGTGTATCTTGATCTTGAGCACCATCTCTGCTATCCTAGGCGTCTCGTTCTCAAAAATTTTCCGGTTGCGAGCACTCCAAATCTGATACACAGTGCAAGCAAGAGCCACCTTCTTCGCTTTTTGCCGCCAACATGAGCCACGAGCCTCCTTCTTCAGCCATTTCAAAGCACTCTTGAGCGTAGTTGCAGCCCGAGGGAAGCCAATCCATTCGAATTCCCGAACAATGCTCCAAACGTTAAAAGTAAACGTGCATCCGAAAAACAAATGCACCACAGTTTCCTTTTCCGTACAAAAAATGCACGACTCTTCAACCTTCAAGTACTTGATTCGATTCCTAGTCCTGAGCTTGGACAGAATACCAAGCCACAAAATAAACGAGTGCTTCGGTGTAATACTAGCACACCAGACCACATTCGCCCAAGGGCGAGGAGCAGCCCTTGGACGAAAACAATGATAAGCAGCGGCAGACCCCTTACCTGACAGACCATACCACTTGGTCAAATTAGCGATTGCCAGCTCCACTGACCCGAAATGCAACATTGTTTGACCAATCATAAAGTGGTACAGCATGAAAAGGAACAGTAACTTGCCTGGATTGTCATTTGAACTTACTTGCTACCTAGGATAGAATACCTATGTTGTCCTTCTATTTGATAGGGTAAATTACGGTAATGTCAAATTACGAAAAATTCCATCTTTTCTGGTAATTGCAACTATCCATCAACTATGAATCTTTTTACATGTTCATTCTTACGGTGTCAAATTTAGTGTAATCTTCTAGATATTATGCGAAATATTCTTCAGTTTTACCTCATTCAAGCTCCATATTTAGAAACAAGATAGACTATAAGATCTCTCTCTCAAATTATAAATATCAGATTGTGGTGCGTCAAAAACTGCATTTTCGCACAAAACGAGTACAAACTAGAGAACATTTTACGGAATCTAGAAAAACTGCATTTACTAATGAAGGTACATTGAGATAAACTCGGAAGCACATCCTCTTCAGCGGCACCACGTACTTCGCATAAACTATCTTCAGTAATTTTCCTTTTGACCAAATTTTGTCGAGTGGGTAAGAGATTCTTACAGCTACGCCGGAGAAAAATCTTGATTTTTTTTTTTCGACATGTTCAAAGCGCATAACCATTTCCACAAAGTCGAGATAGCCAACGAGGAACAACTTGCTAAATTAATCATATGGTCATATGTATTATAATATGATTTGGAATAATGCATGCTTCACTTTGTTACGAAGAAACTAAGAGTAATTAATAGGTGCCCATGATTATGACCCACAATATCTATCTATCATGTGAGTGATAATGCTGTACACTCGGACAAATGTGAATAAAGCCCAACACCATCAACAATCTCTTGTCATTTGGTCTTGTCATTTGATCATCAGTTTTGCTATTTTAATTCATACTCCATCCATTTTAAAATAGCTCTCCTCTAAAGTTTAGGTACATGTATGTATAACCAAAAAAAAAACATTAATATATATATGTTAATTTTAGAAATGAAAAAATTTAGAAGACTAAATTACTCTTTCAACCAGGGGCGGATACAAACTACATCATTTTGTAGGGGGGCGCGATTTTTTTCCGAAAATAATACATCTAAAGGCTGGTTACAAGATATGAATAGCCAATCATGACTTTAGCATATCACACTACTTTATAACACTTACAGCCTGTGATTCACGGAAACTTCAATCCACACGCGTTTCCACGTTTTGGAAATCGAAACTTCATGACACCTATCGGAAACTTTTCAGGGTCGTTTCCATAAATATTTAAAATTTTCGGGGATGTTTCTAATAATAATGAAAAATTGGAAACTCTTTTCCACTCAAAATAAAACCAAATTTCATTTTAAATAAAAACTCCGAATTGCATACGTTTAACAAAAAAATTAATTATTATGTCTCCTTTTCACCTGTAGTGTTGTTTTAATATTTTTGTAGATGTTAATTTCATACTAAAATAAATTTATATGCCCCGAATGTAATTTGTGGAATGATATTAAACATTATAATATTTTTCAGAAATTATGAATGCACCCTTGTATTTTTATTATTTATGTAATTTCCCTACATTTCCGTATCCAACTTTTTGAAAAACGGAGTTTCCCGTATCCATTTTCTCTATTTCCCCTAGTCTGCATTTCCGTATCCGTGCTACATAGCTTGCAACTTTACTGTATGTATTAACTAATGAATCTATAACCCATAAATGAAGAGGTTCAACATTAAAAACCCTTGTATCAATAAAAATGAAAACATTAAAAAAACTTGCAGTAAATGAGGTGTACTTTGCCATTTCATAAAAGAATTAACCAATTATTGTGACGAATCTCGTACACAAAATGCATAACCTCTTACCTATGAATAAATATATAAATGAATACATAATTCGAAAAATCAACCATTTTTATGCATGAGAAGAGCAATTAATTAAAAAATAAAATGTAATTGCAAGAATTGGAGAGAATAAATTAAATCTCAATCCCCTTGTTTTCTTTTCGAAATTAGAGCCGAATAAACTACAATTCCCTATACAACAAACTGACCATGACAATAAAAGATATAATTCACTTTTCCACCCACAAAATTTGGCCACAAATCTTTCCATTTTCTTTATTTTCCCCCCACAAACCCCTTTTTTTCATCCTCAAAACCCCAAAAGACTCCCGTGCCGTTACCGTCACATTCACAGTCCACACACACACACACACTCTCTCTTACTCTCAATTCCCACCGTTAACTCTCCTCCATCACATCATCCTCATTACCGTTGCCGTTAACGTCATCAACGTTATTGTTGCCGTTAAAGAAACCGTTGCCGTCAAATTGACCGTCCTCCTCGGCCCATCTCCCCACGGGTGCGCATTCCATCTTATGGCGCATCTTCCAATCAAGCGCCTGACAAGCGCGTGAACAGTAATTCACTTCTCCGCAAACCGAACACCGCCGGAACTCATGCCGCCGGCTCTCCGGTCTACCGCAGCCGGGATGAGAACACAGCCGGAGCCCCGGCCCGGGGACTTTCCCGCTCCGATCCGAGAACCAGTCGGATAGGAACTGGTTCGCCGGGTGAGGCGCCGGAGTCAGCACATTACACCCGAAATCACTCAGCAATAGGCAACCACCGTCGCCGTCGCCGCCGTGGCGGTGGGTGTTCCACGCCAGCCATGACCGAGGCACCTCCGCCGAGGGGCACGTGACCAGTACAGAGGCCAACTCACGCGCGTTGGCTTGGATTAGGAACCGCCGCCCCTCGGCGACGTTTCGCTTCACGCCGTAGCCGTCTTGCAGGCAGTGGCCGAGCTCCCGGAGCGCGTCGATGTGGCCGAGAAAAGCGGCGCGTGCGCACAACGCGACACCGGCGCGCAGATCCTTGTCGTTCTTCGAGCCGCCGCTGCCGTTGAACTGAATGACGGCGAGTGAGTAGAGCGCCGGCGCGTGAGATCCAATCGCGGCCTTCGCCATGAACGACGCTCCGCTGCCTCTATTTTGCAGGCAGTAGAACCGAATCTGCGCCGCAGAAACAGTAAAATCATCAATAAATCTCAGCGATTGCATAACATCCTAATTTATCATGCCAAAAAAAAAAGTAAAAAAAAAAAAAAAAAAAAAGCTAACCATGCCGAGAGTGAAGCAGGCTTCAACATTGCCGGCGTCGGCGCAGAGTTTGAGAAAACGATGAGCAGATTCCGACCAGTTTTTTGCTTTCACCGCCAACATTCTCCGGCATGCTTTCGATAGAACTTGATCGTTCAGCCCTAAACGATTCAGTCTTTTGCATCTGTTGTTAATTCAAATCAAACCAAATTAAAAAAAAAATCGAAAATCAGAAAAAAAAAATATTCCTGACATTTCTCAGAGATAAAAAAAAAAAAAAAAAAAATCCATACGTGATGAGAACATTGAAGAAATCGGCAGGGCAAAGAGCGGTGGAACTGAGTTTGCATAGAATAGAGAGAACAAGGTCGTCCGGCAAAGCATCAAAGTATTCACAGCCTCCGTCGATCTCCGGCGAAAAATTGGACTTTTTCCGGCAGCCGGTTTCAGCATCTTCGAGTTTCCGTCTTCTGTTCATCGGCGTTGCTTTGTGAGATAAAGAGAAAATGGAAAATGTGAAGATGCTTGTATTTATATATGGAGTGAAAAAAAGGACAAAAGGCAACAGCCACTAAAGGAAAAAATTAAATTAAAACAAAATTAATTTATTTTTACGGAAGATGCAGTTGAATTGTTTTAAATTACAGAATTACCCCTACAGTTTTACCTTTTTGTCTTCATTCGCCTTACGAACGTGGTCAAAGGGTTGACCAGATCCCCTTTCTTTTCTCTTTTTATTTTTTCATAATTCTACAAAATTTATAATCACAAATTTATAGTTATTTCTGAAAAAAATAAATATATTGAGATTTGAGAGAAGGAATGGAGATTGGAGAATTAGTTTTTGTTATTTATACACTTAGGCCTCGTTCACTTGCAATTATTATGAGTTAGTAAAAAGTTTGATTGACGATATTCATATTTGTTAAAATCAAAGTCGAAATCCCGTTACAAAAGTTGGAGTAAATAATTAAATTTGCGATCTACAAATGGCGGATGAGGATATTTTGAGAAAATGAATTTAAAAGTATAATTATTTCAAAATGAATTTAAAAGTGTTTTTTTTTTTTAATTATTAAGAGGAGATATTTTGAGGAGAAAATGAATTTAAGTAGGAAAGTAACGTTTTTTGATTTTATTAGAAAGAGATATTTTTTGTTTCGACAAATTTGATATTTCTCAATGGATATTATATTTTGGCTATATATATATTATTTTTAACACTTTTTCGAATATCTAAAAAAATACTGTATAATAATGTCACGAGATGTATATAGCGTGTGTTCCATTTCATTTGAGGAAGCTAAAAATTAATGGGAAATGGCACATCACCCCTGTAAATTTCTAATTTTCGCACTTTACTCTCTCAAAATTTTTAAAAGCGAATGTCCCCCTTCAAAATATTATTATTGTTGTACATTGCCCCGATAGCAGAATTTCGATGGATAATTCATCAGAATTGAGTTTGTTGCACATTGCCCCTTTAAATGCTATTTTTTTTGCATGTTGCCCTTAAAAACATTATTTTTTTGCACATTGCCCCTTTAAAATATTATTTTTTTTGCACAATGCCCTCCAAAAATTGGATTATGGGGCAAATTGCAATCAATATAGTATTTCGAAGGGAATATCCATTTTTGTAATTTTTAGGGGGGAAAGTGCGAAAATAGACATTTATAGGGGGCAAAATGCATTTTGTCCTAAAGTAATTAATCGGGCAAAATAAGAAAGCAAATGCAATAATATTATGGGTAAATTACAATCATCCTTTGAGGTATGGTCTACTAACGAAAAACCCTTTATTTTTCCATAATTACACTAACACCGTTTTGTAGGAGGTTGGGTGTAAGAAATTACAGACTGCAGGGGATTGAATGTAATTTATCAAAAATAAGGGGGTTTTACGTAATTACACTAAACTTCAAGTAGATGGTTGTAATTTACCCTAATATTATTATTATTATACCGATAAAGAAAACAATTTTGGGATCGTAACAAAAGATTCCTATGTAAAAACTGAAGGTCAAAGAAGTTGATATGCCTAATTGGCCCAACCCAATGGGCCTACAAATTATTTACCTACTGGGCCACGAGCCCAATATCGAAGACCACTATCACCGAGGCCCAATCACCTTCAAGCAAGGTTTGGGCTCGACAATCTCAACTAAGCTATAAATACACATTTGAACTCATTCCATAAGGTACGTCCTATTAACTGAGCAATACTATCAACTGTATTCTCTGGACTATTTCCACTATCCGCACGTCTGACTTGAGCGTCGGAGGGGTTTCCGCCGGATCAACCCCCGGCCTAGTTCACGTGTTTTATGATCGCAGGTACCTCAAGGTCATCGAGCTCGTGAGTCAGTGATCCACTCTGCTCTTCCAACTCATCCTACTTTTACTCACTAAGATGATCTAACTTTAGCATCATCATTTTGGCGCCGTCTGTGGGAAGGCAAACACAATCACGTAGCGCACATGATGGCCTTGAGACATCTGCTCAGGGGAGTGTGACACTGCTAACAACCTCCCACCTCTTGGAGGCTCTGGCTTGTCACATCCTCCTCTCCATGCTCGGGATCCACTACGAGGCATTCATCGGATGTCCCACTAGATCCTCAATAGGATTCACTTCTTCCCGCCCCTCGATCGGTTCAGACAACCGAGGAGACCCTTCAACGCTAGTAAGGGTTATCGACTCCCTGGGGGTTTATAGTGCCCCCAAAACATTTCGCTCGCCAAGGGTTATCGACTCCCTGGGGGCTTACATCTGCCCCCAAAATATTTCGTTCGCCAAGGGTTATCGACTCCCTGGGGGCTTACATCTGCCCCCAAAATATTTCGTTCGCCAAGGGTTATCGACTCCCTGGGGGTTTACAGTGCCCCCAAAATATTTCGTTCGCCATGGGTCATCGACTCTCTGAGGGCCTACTTCCGCCCCCCCTCGAACGGTTCAGATAACCGAAGAGGACCTTCAGCGTATGATCGCCGCCTTCATCAAGATCAACTTCTACTTGCTCCTCTAACGGTTCAGATAACCGATAAGGACCTTCAGCGTACGACCGCGAAAGTTTCAACTCGTGTTGCCACTGAAGCAATGGCACAACCGTGCACATTCACCTCAGACCATAGGTCTCGAGCGCCTCATCCTAAAGTAGGGGGCTATCCCATCCCAAGGTTAGCATCACCCTTACTTTTCAACCCCAAGTGGGTGCACATCCCATCTCAAGAAACGAGTATAATCTCCCTACTCAAAAAATAGAACATCAAGCACCTAAAAAAAAAAAAAAAAAAATGGGGGTCAAATCGCGCGCAAGACCAAAGAAAAAAAACAAGATGAAAAAACAGAAGAAGATGAAAAAAAAAAAAAAAAGAAGTAAGCCAAGCCAAGCCAAGCCATCATCCAAGCCGCGCGCGCCCAAGCCAAGCAACCTACTCCTCGGGGCGCGCGCGCGTCAGAAAAAAAAAAAAAAAAAAAAAAAAAAAAAAAAAAAAACTGGCAGCGCGTGGACAAAGCGCGCGCGTGGGGATCCGCCCACCTCGGCTAACGCGCGCGGTAAGTAAAAAAAAAAAAAAAAAAAAAAAAAGAAAGAAAGAAAAAGAAAATTAATAAAGAATTCATAAAAGTGGGCAGCAGATGGTGTTTGGCAGTAAGCTGCGCCCATCACATCATTCCCTCCATTTGTCACTTTGCGTCATCTCTCATGAGCGCCTCCCTACACCTCGTCAAATCATGCGCGCCTTCCCATGCCACATTAATTCGCGCGCGCGTCACCTCCACTCATCTACTCCCGCACAAATTTTACTATTCTCCACAAAATTGCGCGTATATTTTGACGCGCTTCACCAAATTGCTCGTGAATTTTAGCACGCTCCACCAAATCGTGTGCCGATTTCACCTCGCTTCACCAAATCGCGCAAAAATTTCAACACGCTCTACCAAATTGTGTGCGCTCTCAAGTAAAAATAATTATTTCTCCACGCCACACTAACAGTTAGTGGAACACTACAACACCGACCTACTCTCGACACGATCCGGTATCCTTTTCGACTTGGCTCCCACATCGAATCGAGAGTGGGGAGCTTGCAAGACTCCCACGAGGAGCCAACTCGCTCGGAACTACAACCCGTAGCGAGACAACTCCCACGAGGAGATAACTCGCTAGGACATATAACCCGTTGCGAAGCAACTCCCACGAGGAGCCAACTCCCTCGGGTCTACGAAAGCACAGCGAGATAACTCCCACGAGGAGACCACTCGCTCCGTTCTACAACCCGTTGCGAGGCAACTCCCACGAGGAGCCAACTCGCTCGGTCCTACAACCCGTAGCGAGACAACTCCCACGAGGAGACAACTCGCTCGGTACTACCAACCCGCAGCGAGACAACTCCCACGAGGAGACAACTCGCTCGGTACTACCAACCCGCAGCGAGACAACTCCCACGAGGAGACAACTCGCTCGATACTACCAACCCGCCGCGAAACAACTCCCACGAGGAGACAACTCGCTCAGAGCGACCTTAATACGCACGCTCCTCAGTCGCGCATCATCCAATGCTTCTACAACTTCGTTGCGAGACAACTCCCATGAGGAGACAACTCGCCCGAAATTCACTATATAATCGCAAGCTCAAGTTAGCACGATTACAACCCTAGAAGCACTTAGAGATATTATGAGAATCTATATAGCCTGGCCAGCTTGATTACTCAAATTTATCTACTTGTTTTCGATGGGTCATTCATTAAAACGTGGCCACGGTTCAAACATACTTCAGACCCACGAGGTCTAACAAGGGGCACGACCCCCATAAAAAAAAATTTTGAGAGTCTGATCCCCTCCTCAAGTACATCACGCAGAAGGCTATATGTAAACACATACAAGCAACGCGTCAAAACATTGACAATGTCGATAAATAACAACTCCCACGAGGAGAATACTAGCTCCGTGCTACTACATCATCAAGAGACAACTCCCACGAGGAGATAACTCGATCAACTCTATTACCCCACGACGAGACAACTCCCACGAGGAGATAACTTGATCTGCGCTACCACATCGTCGTGGGACAACACCGACGACTCAAGTCACTTACATCGCGACAACTTGGTCGCGCTACGAGCCAACGCGCCTTCACGCCCCTCCGACACACGCTCCAACGCGTTTTCGCACACCATCGACTACTACAATTTTTACTCTCGACACGATATGTCAACCATTTCAACATGGCCCCCACATCGACTCGAGAGTGGGGGGCTTAATGATATGCCTAATTGGCCTAACCCAATGGGCCTACAAATTATTTACCTACTGGGCCACGAGCCCAATATCGAAGACCACTATCACCGAGGCCCAATCACCTTCAAGCAAGGTTTGGGCTCGACAATCTCAACTAAGCTATAAATACACATTTGAACTCATTCCATAAGGTACGTCCTATTAACTGAGCAATACTATCAACTGTATTCTCTGGACTATTTCCACTATCCGCACGTCTGACTTGAGCGTCGGAGGGGTTTCC